CTTGCATGTGAAATCAATGATATTGTTCTGTAGTTTCTACACTCAGTTGGGTCACCCTTCTTTGGGATGGGAACAAATATAGATCTCTTCTTATGTGGTAATGTAAGAAAGTAAATTTTTACTTGAAACAAATGAAAATGAAAACACAACATAACAAAAAAAATCCGAGATATAGCGCTCATTTGGCAGCACATATACTAAAATTAGAATGATACAAAGATTAGCATGGCCCCTGCCAAAGTATGACATGCAAAAATCTCTGAGACACATCAAAAGCAGTAGTCTGGGGTCAATTTGTAGCAATAAACACACACATCAAAAAAAGAAAATGAACAAAAATCAACACTTTAACCCAGCATCTCTGATAATAAGGAAAAGAACAGCAAGCAAAGCCTACAGTCTTTAGAAGAAAGGGTACAATAAAGAGCAGAATAATTAAAATAGAAAACAACAGAAGTAACAAGATGAGAAACTGGTTCTTTGAAAACTTTGTCCTCTTTGCCTCCCAGGAGCACTCTCTGGCTGCACATCTCTAAGACACCTGTTTGTTCTTTTGGCAGTCCATGGGATATTCAGTACTCTTCTCCAACACTACAACAATTAGAGATGAAAACCAAACAATAATGAAATACTATTTGACCCCAGCAAAAATAATAACAACAATATTCAGTAAGACAGTAAACTCCAAATACTCCTGAACATATGGAGAGTGGAACTCTCATACACTGCTAGTGAGAATGTAAAATGGTATAACCTGTATGAAAAGCAGCCTGGCACTTGCTTAGAAAGCTGGGAATAGAACAATTCACTAGATCCAGCAATCCCAGATAAATAAAAGTAGCAACACAAAACATAAACACACACATGTTTACTGCAACATTATTTACAACAGCATAAAATGGAAACCCAAATATCCATAAATGGGCAAATGGTAAAAGAACTAGGGTACCTTCACACACTATAGTATTATGAAACACTAAAAAACCAGAAATATATATAAAAAAAATCTAATCATTAAGAATCTGAAAAACACTGCAAAACATATGAATGAATCCTGAACGAATTACACTGAGACAGTAGTCAAAAAAGGATCACTAAAACAAAACTCGCTCAGCATTTCTTAAGCTCAAGGAACTGAAGAACAGATTCAAACCTAGAGTTGCTGTAATCAAGGATGCTTTGGGCAGAATATTAAAT